ACCTACAATGTACCAATAAAAGAATTTAATACAAAAAAAATTTAAAAAAAAGAAAATACACAATTTGGCAAATTTCACTGTAATAATTATTCAACCCAGTATCATCAATAGATGCTATATTTAGTGGGCAAAAGTATGATGAGAAACAGATTATTTGCATTGTCTCACAATATTGCCCTGTATAGTCTTGAAAGCCCTGCTCAATATGTAAATGCAAAGGTCAGAAATAATGACGTAGCAGAAAAACTCTACAGACATTATCTTAACCAGGTTATCCAAGTTAACTCAAGGTAAAGAAAGAGTCTTGGGCCAAGGATTTAGCTCAGTGGTGCCGCAGCCTGCCTCACAATCAGAATGTCCCGAGTTCAATCCCTGATACCAAAAAAAAAAAAAAAGACTTATGTCTTGCATATACAGAAATCAATGGCCAAATAAAAACCCAAGAAAAAACATACACACTTATACAGTACCAGGATAGATATGTACTGGCACATAAATGAATGAACAAGGCTAAAGATACACAAGTATTTGAGTGAACAGAATCAGGTATGACAGAGTAGGTAAACTGGTAAAAACACAAAAATAAATTGAGCATTTCAGGCAAAAATGTGCCATGATACCCATATACCTTGTTTTTTCACAATAGACATGTTCCTGAAAAGTTCAGCATACTGGACATTACTGTAGAAACTGAGTAATTAAAAGAATCATAAGGCAAATCTCTCTCAAAAAACCTACCTTTTCTTTTGTACTTGGGATTGAACGGAGGGCTTTTGCACTGAGCTACATCTCCAGCTCTTTTTTAATTTAATTTTTTATTTGGAGACAGGATCTCACTAAGTCACTAAGTTGCCCAGGCTGGTCTCAAACTTACATCCTACTGCCTCAGCTTCTCAGAGTGCTGTAATTACACAGGAGTGCCACCATGCCCTGCAAATCTAAATTTTATATATTGTGATTGCATAAAATCATACGATCTGCAGCAACAATTGGTTTTAGATTCTTTTAAGTTACTTCACTCTAAACAGACACAAATACAGAGATCAAATTCTGATCTTTTTAAGTCCAAAGCTCTTTCCATTATGCTATGCTCCTTCTAAAGTTGGCAAGAGATGTAACCTTCATTATTTCTATTGCATCCTCTGTGTAAAAAAAAACAAAATAGTAGCAGTGATTCAAACAGTGAACCTTAAATAAATCTCTATAAATTACATAAAAAGGAGGCACTACAGGACAGTTGATAAGGGCAAAGACTCTGTAATCAAATTGTTTGAATTCAAATTTTCCAGCTCTACAACTTATTGCTAATGCAGTACACACAACCTCTATGATTTCTAGTTTTCTCATCTGAAAAGTGGGAATAAGAGTATGTACCTCATACATCTGTTATGAAGAGGAGGAAAAGTAATTGATTAGCATGCATGAGGCCCTGGGTTCAACCCCCAGTACAACACACACACATACAGAGAATAAAGAAGACAATATACATTACTATATACTAGCAGCACAATGCCAGGCACATAATAAACAAAACAGAAACTATGATGATAATGAAGACAATGATGACAAATTCTGCCTTTGGAGCAGTATATTTCATAGAAGAACAATTTAGCTTAGTGGCTCCATCCCTGCCTCGCAAGCACAAGGTCCTGAGTTCAATGCTGGTACCAAAAAGAATAATTATTTCTTGGCCACAAACCACACTCCTGTCCTTGATGAATTTTTGCCACTGACCACAAGGCACAGAGTCCATTTATATTAGCATAACTTGTCCACTCAACTGGGCATAAAACAACTAATATTTGTGTACAAGTAGTATAATTTTACATATTATCCATATATCTAAGTACATATCCTTATGTCAATGAGTCTGTATAAGTGTAATTATCTTAACATAAAAATATTGCATTTAAATCACTAGAAATGACTTCTTCAACCTACAGCTGCTAAAACTGTGCGCTAACCTTTCAGTTTGAAAGGTTACTTTAGCCGGGGATTTAGCTCAGTGGTTTCACCGCCTGCTGCACAAGCGGAAGGACCAGAGTTCGATCCCCAGTACCAAAAAATTAAAAAATAAATAAATAAATAAAAGGTTATTTTATTCCATCTAATGACCACTTTACCTAAAAAAAAAAATCTTCCACGTATTTGTGATATGCAAATTTGGGATGAGTTCAGGATAGAGAAATCTCATAACCATGGAAAAGGAAAGCAACTTAACTAGCAATGGTCCTTTTGATACAGCATAGTATAGCAATGCTCCTTTTGATATAGTATAGAATAGTCTGCTTACTAGACTATTTCAGTTAACTATTAGTCTCACTACCATCCAGTTTTACTCTGGGTAAGGTCACCAATATCACTAGAACGGTATGGAGAACAGATACCATTCATATTTTCGAGATGATTAAAACATTCATCTTAACTACTGATGTGTGAAGCAAGAAAAATAAATTCCCAGTTTTAACAGACGCACTATATCTTGACAGAAAAATGGGATTAAAATGTCCTTTAAAATTATATAAGAAAAAGGGAAAAATGTAATTTATTTCATGACCATTCAGTTGTTACTTTAAGAATCCATGAAAACAAGCTTGCTCCTAAATTTTGTCAATCATTTAAAAAATCTCATTTTTAACATAAATTGATTTTATATAAATTGGTATGTACTGTTTCTATATATACCTGTACAGTGCATATCTGGTGTACATTTATTAATAGCAAGATCAAAAGAGAGAAAGAAATATTTAATGAAACATTCACAAAATCATTCCCCCTTGGCCAAATGCCATAAGGAGTAAGTGCCAACATGTTCTTATTCAACAGCACGATTGTGATTTTATTCAACAACCTGTATCTCTATTGATTGGCTGAACTTTAACCCATGAAAGACGTTGGGCATAAAAAAGCTCTTTTAAATCATTTATCTACTTTGATGAAGGAAAATTAAGGCATGCATAATTAAAATATTGGATATGCACAGTTTTTCAGCGTATTTGCCATGATCATGTTGTTTTTTACAGTAATATGAAAGTTTTCATATCTAGAGTACACACTTGATGAAGGATAGAAAGACAGCAATGTGATCTGAGGTGTGCTAAGTGCTATAGGGAAATAAACTAACTTAAAAGTGGACCCAGTTAAGCTATAACATAGCAGCTGTACATAACCAGTGGAGTCACCCAACCATATGAAGGCCTAAGCCACAATCTCATATTAAATAATTTTTTAAACCACCCATTGTGATCCCTGAAGTATAACATTTAAATAATTTGTCATACTTATTCTTTAGAGGTTCAGTGAAATTAAGGATGATAGGCTTCAGGCTAGTGAACATTTGCTGTGACCAAGCAACTCATTCCCTTATATCTAGAAGGTCAGGGGTGAGACTCCCCAGACACCCTTGTAGAAGATATATTGACGCTTTAATTCTACATTCTTAAAACCAAGTGGAACTTTTTTTTTTTTTGGTACCGGGGATCGAACTCGGGTCCTTGCGCTTGCGCAGCAGGCGACAAAACCACTGAGCTAAATCCCCAGCCCCACCAAGTGGAACTTTTTGCTCTGTAATTTCACATGTACATTCTCCCCAGTGGTTCTTTTAACTTAGAATGCTGGTTCTCCTTTGAAAACACACAATTCTTTTAATTAGGTGATGGGCTTAGTTGTTAAATAGATGATGGGCAAATTCTCGATTTGTTTAGGTGACTTTGTGAATTAAAAAAAATAAATAAAAGCCATAACTTAAAAAAAAAAAAAAAAAAAAAGAGGAAAAAAGCTAAAGCCCGAGGCCATCTGTCTTCACCTCATTCTTCGTGGTAGGTTACCTTAGCATTTGTATAAGAAGGCTGTCAAAAGGGGAAAGAAAGCAGGTCAGTAGCTTTACCGACCTAAAGTAGGGGATAGATTCATATTGCTTAAGGAAAAAGTGAAGGGGAAGAATTTTATCTGGGAGCTTAACACTTTGATAGAAGCCGAATTTTAGAAGAGCCAAAATATTAAACTATAGGCAAAGTTAAAAGAGTGTGTGGGCTGCGCACAAGTAGTGAAAAGGTTAGCAGGCAGGGAAACACCCGAGGGCGGAGGGAAGGAAAAGTTTTAAATACCCATCAGAGCCTAGTGAGAAATTAAAGAGTTCCGCAGTCCTGGCTCTGCCCCTGCCCCAGGAGAGCTAGTTTCAGGGAAGCAAGCAGCCCTGTTTTTAAACACTTAAAACCGTCCCCTGCGCTTCAGAAGGCTTGCCTGACCAGCGTTGTAAATAATGTTTATTCCTAAATAAGGAAAGCAAATTTGAATTCCTTAGCCAAGGCCAAGACAAAAGAGAGGTAAAAGGACAAGAAGTGATTTGAGCGTGAAAGTGCGGTGATGGGGGCTGGGGAGGACTTACCGCAGCCTCTGCGGGCTGCCCCCAAACACTCAGGGCCAGTAAGAACAAGCCGACAGCCAGGCTGACTCCACGCAGTTTCATTCTTCCCCGGCTCCTGCAGCTCCTTCAGCACCAGCACGAAATCCCTGGCTGACTCTGACCGATTGACATAATCTTGAGGATTTATTGGGAGAAGGCTTGAGCCAGAGAGGGTCAGCGGATGTTCCAATTGTGCCAGTCGGCTTGGGTGAAGAGAAAGAAGCTTTTTAAGAGTGGAGAAGAAAAAATAAAAAGAAAAAGAAGTAGCTGTGCTTCCCTCCCTTCTCCCCTCCCCGAAGCCCGTCTCTCGTGAGCACCTTTCCAGTCTGTTCAGAGTTGCAAACTTTTTCCTCACTCAAGTCCTACAGATCTACTTTCCTCCCTCTCTTCTCCCCGCACCGCCCCCTCCCCGCCCCCTCCCCGCCCCCTCCCCGCCTGCACCGGGGAATTTGAGTATCACTCCGCCACAGTTTTTGCACCAGCAACCTGCAAGAGAATGACGCCCAGTTATTTGGAGGAGGGAAACCTCTAGACCAGTGGACTGAGTACCAGGAACCCAACCAGGAAGTGTTTCTTTTCGTTCATTTGCACCTTACGTTGACACTACTTTTCCCCGCTTAGTCCCACTGTCCTTCGTGTGAGCATTAAACCAATTACAAATAGACCTGACCTGGGACTACTTTTTTAAGCGGATGAATCTCAGAGAAAGACTGCTTTTTTGTTGTTAATCATTAGAAACAAATTTTGGTGGCTGCTCTCTGGGTTGAGTCTTGTCTGTCTTCTGTCCTCGCTGGGCAAAGTTTCTATACACAAGCATAAGATGTGAAAATATTGGAACTATATACTTATAAATGAAGAAGAAAATGAAAATATATGTGAGTGAAAATGCATGTGATACGTTATAAGATTTGGAAGCATTCTCTAGTAATTATTACATGATTGAATGTTATTGTAGTACAATCACATCTTTTTTTCAGGTACATTGAATGAACTAACATTAAAGATATTGACTGTTGTAGTTGTATTTCAGAAGGATTTTCAGCAGAAAATTTAATAACTGTAGTGCAGTTTTCCTCAGAATGAACATAACACTTAATTGGAAATATGTATATGCAGTTTATGGTAATTGAATCTAACATTACTTTGACAATTCTGGTAGAGTTTTTAAAGTATCAAATGGCCCAGGAACTATTTATGTGGACTCTTTAGAGGGTCTTTCAGGAATTTGCTGAAGAATTATTTTAAATACTTCTCTTACCTCAGTCCCTAGGGTTAACCACGTTAGAGACTTTCATGATTTGGGTCTATTTTATGCGGATTCATTCATCCCTGGCTTCTATCGATCTTAAAGTAGATTTACAACTCCAGAAACCTCCTTCCCTTCCCAAGTACTTAGTGTACAGTCAATTATTGTGAGCGTTTTATGCATTTGGACCTATGTGCATGGGCACTTTGGGGCCTATGTAGGAGTAGTATGTCTAACTCTGTGTAATTTAACAGTGGTTTATGGAAGTGTATAATTTCCAGTTGCTTACGTCTTAGTGCATAGGTCTCTAGAGACCTATGCATGAAGTTATGGAGACATTTGGGAATGTTTGTAGAGGTGGCTGAAAGTGAGAAAGACAACCAGCTGCCTGAGGGGGGATGATTGACAGCCGACGGCCCCGCCCCTTTCCCCTCCATTCCTTTCTCTCCAGGCGCCTGGAACTATCTCTTGAGTGCTGCAAGTTGTAGGGGCCTCCGCTGAGCGTTTCCCTTTGGGGAAGTTCTTATCTAGAAGCTGACTTTCGTTGCTTCTAAACTGAGCTGCTTCGCTCCCTTAACCCTGTCCTGAGTAAGAAGCAGCCGTACAGCATCAGCGAGCCCAGATGAGCATGAGCTAGTGCCGTGGAGTTGCTTAGCAGTCTCCCAGGACCCAGATCCGGAGGAGCGGCAAGCATGCACCCTGGGTGAGCTGTTGCTGCCCTGACCTCCAGCTCTCCTCTTTCCTACTTCGGGCTACTTTGCAGGCCGGGACTATATTTATACTTCTGTCACTGCAAAGAAAGTGAGAGCAGGCATCAAGAGAGTTTAGGTGGCTACCAGCAGACACAGGACCCTGAAGCCCTAAAAAGCCCTTATTACTCACCCTCCGTCTCCTTTCAGGTTGTGGCTGCTCCTGCTTTCCTTGTGCCTGACGGAGGAACTGGCAGAAGCCGTGAGTGTTCTCCTGACCGCTTTCCCTCCTGCTTTTTTGGCTCCCTCCCTTTCCCCACCTTGTGTGTCTGTTAGGGGGTTACAGAGAGTTGCACCCCAAAACAGAGTTCACTCAACTCTCCTTTCTAATGGGAGTTTAATAGGGTTCTTGGAGAGGAATACCAAGCACAATGTTAGGTTAATGCCTATGAGACCCAGCCATCTTCCTGTGCTAAAACTTCCTAACAGGTTGGGAAAATAAAAGTAGAAGACACAAGATGTACACATTTTTGACCCTATTCTGAATAATTTAAGATGACTGATGTCTGATGCCTTCTTCTGCATCAATCTGTAAAGCAGAAGAAACTTAATTTTCTTTAGCCTACAGGAACATGAATTGGCACACAACTTTAAGAGTGAAAGGACAGCACCAAAGAGTGAGACTTGAAAATGTCGCAAATATTATAGGAATTAAACTCAGTATTTTGCTTGGAAGCCCCTTGACAGTATCAGGAGCTGACTGATACCACTAGGTGATGTTCAGTGTCTACCTGATGTTTCCTTTTTTCTGGTTTTCTGCATCATCAGAAAATTAAAGTGTTTAGGACAGACAAAAAAATTCTAAAAGTTAACATTTAACAGGCTGTTTCAATATCATCCATCAAATCATCTAGAAACTGTAGGGAAAGGAATTTCTTTAGGTATCTGGTTGAAAAAAAGTTTAATGGATTCCAGAAAGTAGAGAAATCTTCAATGAAATTACTAGGATAATTTCACAAAGGTGGAGTGACGCAAATAATCAGAGATGCTGCAGTTTTCCAGTTACATTGGGTACATATGCTGGCAGAGATAAAGTTAACTGTTGAGTTCAAATATGAAGTTGTTCAACTATTGAGACTATTTCATTGCAATATTTAAAAAATTATTAATAATAGCCAGTCATTTACTATGTAGATGACCAATAATGTATACTCCAAATGTTTACCTTGTGGGTTTTGATAATTTTAACAGATTTGCTCTATTTTTTAATATTTTAAAGTGTAATTTTCAGAACCATACTTAATTCAACTTAATAAAATCACCTAATACATTTATGAAAAACTAGATTACTATATCTTGGCATATGATATCTTTAAGAAAATATCAGATGAGGTGAAATGATTTCTCTTATGAAAAAAGGCTAATGCCAGAAAACTTGGAATTCTAAAATCTTGAGAAATCTTAATTCAGAACATCAGCTCTTAAGCAAGTATATTCTAGATTTTGAAAGCAGAAATATTGATGTAAGGCTCTGTGCATTTTTCCATGTGACTTTTCCAGTATACTATGTATGTATTACCTTGAGGCTCAATACTACATTTATTTTTTTATTCATTAAGTTTATTGGTACATTTCAGGTATACATTATGGTCACATTCATCATTGGAAAATTTTTACCTATATGTGATATATCTAAGTTCTTGGGTTTTTTCCCCATTCCCTTTCCTTCCCTTACACCCCTCCACACCTCCCTATGTACAAAAACTTTGTTTCCATTTTTTCCTTCTGGGGTACTACATTTATTGAAAGTGCCAGATTTTGATTAGTTAACAGTTTGTTCAGGAATCTTGCCACTTGTAAATATGTCATGATTGGGCAGAAAATGTCTTCCAGCAAAACCTTTGTTTTTTGACTCTGCCTGATCTTATACGTTATACTCTTGGGAAAAGCACCACAGGCCATTCTAGATAGTTGAAGACTTCCTAAATACTGCATCCTTTCGTATGGTGGAAGATGATGTTTTCAATTTTTCTAGGAATTTTAAACTGAGTCTCCAAAATCAAGCACTGATTTGGTGTGTAGGTTCTAGACTTTGTCTCGTTGTTTTACAATGTCATCTGCTATGTCAGTGTGAATGACCATGGTAAGGCTGAAAGAAACCTTGGGATCCACTGATAATAGTTATATTTCCTCTAAGTCCAGAACTGCTTCCTTCATAGTTGTTTAATTTCAAATAATATCTTCTTGCTGTAAAGTTTTTAAATTTTATTTATTTATTTGGCAAATGACAGAGAGAGGAGTGAAATAAGATGACATTTTTGAAGGGAAGTTTTTTATTTTTTTCTTCTACACCCTTTGAACTGGACTCACATCTATATTGGTTGGCTCTCATTTTCTGGTCTCAATTCCCAGGTTATCCTCTGAGTTTGTAGTGTTTTTATGTTTCAGATAGTTTTAAGATATTTGAATTCTCTGTACTTTGAGTAATATTAATTAAAATAAGTATAATAAATAGTCATGAACTAGGTTGCATTTCATTATGAGAAAGCATTTGTAGATAGGGTCATTTAGATGCTTCTGAGCAATTTTTTTTTTTAGAATTTACACAACAATTTAGAACAACAGTTCTATGTAAGGAAGAGAAAAAATCTAAATGTTAAAATTCAGGATTCAACAATAAGTTTCCGTTAAATTTCTTTTAAAGGAGTGATGATCTTCATTCAAGTGAAATATCTGTACAACTTATCTGAATAATATAGAGCATAGGATTTCAGGATATCCTGAATCATCTTTAGTTAAGTACCTAACTACCTATGAGGCTATATACTTGCCTAGATGCAGAATGAAAACATTTATATAAACATAGCTCTTAACTTTCTAGGAATTTGCCTTGTCAGGTGATAATGAGCATTATATTCCTTAAAAGATGAGCTGCTTATGGACAAATTATCAGCATGTATTTGCATCCTCTTAGAGAAAAGATTAGAAAGATACAAATCTCAACATAGACCATCATGTCTAAGAGATAAAATATATCCTAAAGTAGTCAGGGTCCTTGTTTTTTTTCCTACTTTGTCCCTATCTGAATATGCTTTCATAAAAGGCTCTAATACAACCAAGTACACTTAAAGTAAAATGCCTAGTGGGAGATTTCTTTGGGTGAGGAAGAGGGTAAAGGGAGAAAACATGTATTTTCACCCTTCTGCAGAAAGCATAGGTAAAATGCCTTTAGCCATATGCAAGTCAAAATCTGACTGAAATACCAACTTCTTTCCTTAAAGTTGTAACTTGTTCAGCTTGGCCCTTTCCACTATGAGTTTCCCAGTCATTGTAACAGTTATCAGTGTTTGAATATCATATTAAAGGGGTTCAGAGATGGAGAAAATCCCTTCTTACTTTAAAGAGCAAAAGGATCTCTAAAGGGACTGTGTCTTTATGAACTGTTAAAGTCATCTTCTGCTT